GCATCATTCTCATCAGAAGCAAATCACGTTCAACTTCTTTAGAATCCAAGCTATACTTGTAATTCTTCTTGGAAGCATCAGAAACAGAAATGGGTTCGAAGTAACGTTCCTGAACATCTGCAGAACTCAAGCTCTCCAAGCTTCCATGGATAAGAGCAGTAACGTTACTCGAGTTGAACAGATTACTCAGTTTGAAAACAGCATCGAGATGAAGAAAGTCACCCTCTTGGGAATGCCCTTTCCCTTTCCCAACCATACAAAGCCTTCCTGATGATTCAGACCAGAACCCATCAAGCTTGAAGACGACTTTGCCACTATCTCTACTGTAATAAGACCCGAACCTGGAGGTTTCCCCGTAGTAATAACTATTACTGCTCACGAACGTAAGAGTAGCTTCAATTTTGATCAACCCAGAAGTCTCTGTCTGGTGTACTCTGTTGGTTTGAAGAGAAAAGGTGTTTTTTTGCCAAGAAGAGCTAGTTCTGAGGATTTTATGGCCTCCTTTGAAGTAACCTGTGTGAAGCTCAGGAAAAGGGAAAGCAGAGGGCTTGAACTTGATGGGAATGGACTCAGGGACGATAGAGGCACAATGAACTTGGTAAGGAGAAGGTGTAGAGGCAGAAGAGATAAAGTTGAAAGAGAAGAAGGTGGAAAGGAAGAGGAGAGTGAAGAGAAGCGTGTTCATTGCTTAAGAACGAGGCAAAGAAAATTCAAGGAGAAGCAGAGGACGATGCAGATGCAGATGCAGAAGCAGAAGAGTAGAGGTAGTTATATACAAGTCGCCCGCCTAGTCCCCATACTAATTATTGATGAAAATTATTAATGCAAAAGCATATTAGGTAAAGAAACAATGCAGAGTTACTGTGAAGTCCGAGATAAAACAAAAAATTATTCAAAAAAATTTAATAACAAGTGAGCAATTGGAATCTGATATTATTTCCTGTTTTGTAATTTGCTATCACAAGCTGCTCAGTTATTAGAAAAATTTTATGTGAATTTCTTCTTAAAAATCTCATTGCAATTCTCCCAAAAAACAATAATTTGATTTATCCATCCTCAAATTTTAGAATAAAAAATTAAAAATATAAACTATTTTTAAAAAATTGAGAAAAAATGTCCCATTAAAAATATTATTGGTGAGAAGAAATTAAGTCAGAAAAGATACAAAAATTTACGAGGTGATTCGTACTAAATAGATTTTTCATAGGAGATTTTTTTTGAATTTTCCCCTCATTTTTTTATTATTCTAATCTTCTTCTTAGTATTTTATTAGGAATTTTATTTTTTCATTGTATTTGATAAGTTGCCATCCATATATTACTTTATTTTAATAGGTTTTGAATATTGGTATGCCTTATAAGAAGGAAATTATCACGTAGCTTCATGCAATTTGTAAGTTATTATCTCCACACCGCTAAAGACGTTATGTGGTTGTAATCAAGTCAAGGTGCCTTTAATTTCAGCCCACGTTAGAAAATTGTCCATGGAGTGCTTAAAAGTCATAATTTCTTGAGAAATTCACATTTAAAAAATTACTCGTGTATTAATGTTCCAAAATTTAGGAAAGTTTTATGTAATTTAGCCTATTATATATTAGAGTTTAAATGTTGATACAACTAACTGCGTCATTATATCAAGAATAAATTATAATATTAACTCTGATCTTTAATATAAGAACTAGTTAACTAATTTAATATATTTTAAAAAACTATTTAAATTAGTTATTTATAATAAATAGCTATTATCTTTCTTAAAATATCCTTGCTAATCAAGTGTATTAACTAGAATTACCATTACTACAGAGACTTGGGAAAAAATGGATAAATGAGAGACAAAATAAATTAGAGTTTTATATTTAGAAACAAAATAAAAATCAAACTAATTCTTATATTAAGAACAGAAAGTAGTACTATATTTGTCAAAAGGTTACTTCACAGGCTAAAATTTACAATTTATTAGAGTGAGAAACGGGCATTTGAGTGGCTTCGTGACCACTAAAGTTGACTTTGAGTCAACTCTAGCAAAGACCCTGGAGTCTAAGAAATTGTCGTGAATCGTCATCCACAAAGTATTTTCCACGGCGTTGAAAAGTCACGGCCACCTTGTGTTTCACAAGTTATTGAAAAAAAGGAAAATTTCATGGATATAGCATCACTCAAATGTCAAACATCGTTTGCTCTCCATCGGTAAATTCCAAACAAATTTATGACCTTGTCTCTTTGACAAAGTCCTAACCAATAGAAAAGGTAAAATTAAACATTTTTGTTAAAATTATTACATTGAAATTAAATATTTTAAGTTGATAATGTTAAATTGAACAGTGTAAAACTTCATTCTATGTGGGCAAATTTTTTACCAATCATTCAAAATCATATTGAATTTGAAGTACTCCTCCGGTCCTAATTATAAGACCCAATTGACTTATTTGAGGAGATTAAAGAAGTAAGTTAAGTTAGTTATTTATAATAAATAAGTGTTGTTATTCCTAAAATATCCTTGCTAATTAAGTATATTGGCTAAAACTATCATTATTAGAAGGATTATCTTGAAAAAAAATGCATAAATATAAGAAAGAAAATGGATTGGGTCTTATAATTAGGACCAAATAAAAAGTCAAATTGGGTCTTATAATAAGGATCGGAGGAGTATTTTTGAATGAATGTCCTAAATTCAGGAATCTAAACTGCAATTTTCTTATATCTTTTCAAACTTGAGTAATTTTGAATCTGTCATCAATATAACCCTGAGTTTCATTAGATAATTTTATACTCATAATTAGCATTATTGATTGGTTTATACTTGAGCCTTTTCTTTTCAGCTGGTATAAATACATGCAGAAGACGCTAATACATTATGCTTATCTTAGGTTCAGATGAACAAGCCCCACTTGTGTCTCCATTTCCACACCAGCCAGTGAGATTACTCGCACATTCCCCATTACCAAATATGCCTAGTGTCATTCTTTTAGACCAAATAATTATATAATGTAGCCCGTTTTACCAATAGGCTTCTCTTCAATCATTTGTTTTTCAGACTTGTTTGCAAATATCAGCAGAGAATAATATAACTCGAACCTTCAGAATAAAAAAAGGGGAATATATATATATATATATATATATATATATATAATAGAGCTGGAAACTTAAACCATGAGTCATACTAACAATGTACTAGCATCATCCGCAACTATATACAATGACCAAAATTATGTGCAGGCATGTTTTTCCAATGTGAACGAACATAAGATGGACCATCACCAGATTTTGGCTATTATCTTGAAATAAAACAGGGAGCTATTAGGTATAGCTTAAATATGCCTCCTATATGTATCAAGTCTCAAAATTGGGCTTCATCAGGGGAGAGTTCAAGTAGCAGTAGCAGGAGCAGCAGCACCAGCAGCATCAGGGTTACAACCTGCTGACATGTTACCTGCTGTAGCCGCCTGCGGCAAGAATTTCTCACACTCCTTAGCTCCAACTTTGGAAAATTCTCCGACAAGCCTATTCACAAATCCAGCTAAGGTTTCCTTAAACTGCCTTGAGCAGCTCCGGTCACCTGCGTCAACATCCTGCACTCCACCTTTGACCAAACAGCCAACTTGAGCACCATCCATGTATGCTTTACACGCCACCAAAATATCATGAGCCCGGGTGCAGAAATGCCCCGCAACAAAGTCCTCGAAATGCTATGGCAAAAAAAAAGGCCATAACAGTTAGATTTTGAGCCCCATAAAGAAGAAGAGACAGTAAGAAGTTTATGGCTATAATGAAGAAAAACACTTGCATGTTCTAGCACTTGCCACATTCTACATCCATGATTTCAAGGATCTATGTAATCTTCAACTAGTTCTGTGTTCATGACTAAATAAATTACATAACGGGATCATGCCCTTTTGATGCTATGCCATATAAAGATAAGTATAGAAATCTAAAACCAGATTTACTACGAAACATGGATGCACTCATAGAGTTATATCTGTCTGAAACGTGCCTGATACTTATAACAGATACAATGCAATACTTTAAAAGACTTTTGAACACATCAGATTTTCTCAAATCACCACATCCATGTCAGTATCCATGTTTCCTAGGAAGCTTATGTGGATAGACTATAGACGTTATGAATTTCGCCACATGCAAAAACCATCCTAGTGACAACTAATGTACCTTGTTCGATGCAGTAAACTCATTTAAAAGTCATTATTTTAACTTATGTCACATACGATCACTCTTCTCACTTGATATAAGCACTTGTGTGCACATGTATAAGTATGAATATGCACAAAAATTGACTAAGGTTTAAAAATTAAGCTTGATATAGTCACTAGAATCATACCTTTGGAGGCTTTCTCATCACGTACATCATCGTCTTCAATGATAGAATAAATGCATCCTCATTATACTGCAGGGACCTCATTTCGCCAGCAGCAGAACCACTCGTATGAGCAAACCCTGGCTCATTAAAATAAGGCTTTGTATTCAAGATTAAACCTTGTATAGAAACAAGAACCTGTAGAATTGTTGAAACACCAGGAAGCCACTTCTCATTCTTATCGCCAGACCAAGTATTAAGCAGACTGAGGCATACTTTGCCGCAGTTATACAAATTTGGGTTGATCCTAACACCACCAGAGTGGTAGTGGACTTCCTGCCATGAAATTTCCCATAAGCAAGACTTGTACATAAAGGGAGAAAACATGATACTGAATTACTGATGTCAATAAGATATAGTTGCGTAACTTAAAGGGAGAAAACATGATACTGAATTACTGATGTCAATAAGATATAGTTGCGTAACTTAAACTCCATACCGGTGGCACATTGGGATAGCCATTGGGAAAGAAAACGTCAAAAAAGAAGAGACCGTCATGATAAGGAGTTCCCTCTGCTCCAATCATTACAGCTCTCAAAAGATCCATCCTTGACTCATAAACTCTAACAAATATTGTATCTGACGAAACCAATGAGGAGACGAAGAAGAAACAGTGAGACATATTGCAAAGAATATAGTAAAAGGTTGCACACTGTAATCTACAATACCCAGTTACAGCTATTTTTAACACTGCTTCAGGCACCCAGCGTATTTCAATTATAATAATAACATGACATTATTTCAAATGCATACATTCCAAGTGGCTTATGGATCTAAAAGGTTCTCGCTTCAATCTCAACAACAAAGATGGAAACCAGAGACATACAAGTGTCCGAGGATCATCAGCTTGAAAAGAAAACCAGAAACAAAAGATATACAATTAGAAAAATATCAGTTACATTTTGTAACTAACAGTAACACTTAAAATACACTTACCAGGCAAGTCCTTCTCAAGAATTCTCCACTCTTCCTGAATTTTCTTTGACCAATTCTTTGAATGCTGTCAGAAAAATCACTTAATGAAAAACCAAAATATTAAGATCAGAACTGAAAGAGACTGTTCCTTGGAAACTAAACTACCTGCTTCAAGGAATAACTTTTGCCATTATAGTAATGGTCTGAAGTGTCTTCAACTGTGTCAAACTGTTTAAAATGTTGGAATTTCCTCAAGATTTCATCCCTATCTTCATCAGATATTGTAACAACCGGGGCAGTAGTAGTAGTTTCATTCTTTTCATCATTGGCATAATTGTGAATCCAAGCATTACCAAACATTGGCGGAAGAGGGCCATCAAGAGGATCAAATGGATAATAAAAGCCTAAATTATCTGAATGGTCTGTAAAAGGCGGGTTAGGAGGTTTCTTCCACATATTAGAGTTTGCTGATTCCAATCCAGGAATATGATATGACCCTTCAAAAGGTGGAAAGAAATTTGAATGGAACAAAACATCTTTCCCATGTGCCTTTTTTGCACTTTTAACTTTGCCCCAATGAGGAGGTTCACCTCCAGGTGGCAGCTTCAAGGGCTCTGACTTGTGTGCTGAAGAATCACTTTGAAAATCACCTAAAACAGAAAGCTTCTTCTTGCGACTGAAAGGTCCTTTGAACCAATGAGGCTTAGATGAATCTGCCCCTAGTGCTAGATTCAAGTTCAGCTTAAGCCCATCAAGTTGTGAAAAAGTTGATTGCTTTTTACCAAGAGCAGCTTCAGTATGCAACTGAGAAGACAAGTTTTGAGGAGGAGGATTGACAGCAGCATTTTTTGTTTGTGAACTAGAACTACATACTGGAGTTTCTTGGATGAGGTCAGAAGATTCTATTGCCCACGAAAGCTGAGATAAGTCTGTCATATGAGAACTTTTAGCATCTAACTGCATATTACCCCAAGGATTCGAAGAACTACTTCCAGATTTCTTCAAATCTATATCAAAATTTGACATCCAGGGTATGGGTGCCTCAATTCCAGCAGGTATATTCACACTGTCAAAGTGTGCCTGTAACATGGCGTACTCATCTACATCCATGAAATCATCAGCAAAATGATCGTTGTAGTCATCATCATCATTTGATAGATCAGAACTGTGACCATCGACATTGATTATATTATGTGATACTGAAGCATAACCACTGGAGGACTCAAGCCCACTAGCTGGCCCAAATTGTTCCAGAGTAGGAGGGGGACAAACATCATCAGACATCTCCTGAAAAGGAAACCAAGCAAAATGTTAAACCATATTTCATTTTAGTGAAGATAAATGAAGCGGGCGCATGAAGTAGAAATTCTTATTGACAAACCATAGCTAGATGATCACCATAGCCATTATTATGAACAACTTCAATTACCTTTCCCTTGTTGCTTCCGCCAACTTTTTCACCAATAAACACTAAATCAGCAGAGTCTTCATCATTGTCGACGTCAATCACATCACTAATAATAGCCTAGAGAAGTCAAAGAAAACATTTAAGAGTCAGAGATATCTGAGAAAGAAGAGATAGACTCCTAGAGACATCCAAGGAATCTTACACAAACAAGGCAGCAAGCAAGATAGATCCAATGAGCAATACAGAAAACATTTGTACTTTTGTAACTTGTGAAGGAAAAATTTCAGAAATAGAATTATGTAATTAATCAGAGACGATAGCTTTCTATGGGCAAGTTTCATTCACCAGAAACTGTCCAGTGCTGTTTGGAACTATATATCAAATGATAGTCTCCAATATCATATTGAACACAGGATACAAAGGAATATTGCAATTCCAATATTTTGTGTTGGTTCTTGGTCCTCAGCAAACCAGAAAATATCAACTGCGTCAAGAAATAATTCATTTCATACATTTAAGTTGTTAAAGAGAACGAAAGTAAATGGTTATTAGCATTATTAATTTATCTCTAATGCAACCACCCCTTTGCCAAAACCCTTTGGACTTGAAGATTTAATTATAAATATGAGGATAAGCAATGATCAGAACTCGAAAGTCCAAGCTACGTCCTAGAGGCAGAATGTCTCGTGCATTTTCATGGTAGAATAACTATTCAACAAACTCAACAAACTAAGAGAAATTGTTTTGCCTTGAAATTGAGTAATGGACAGAAAAAAAAAAAGAGCTATCGAAATAACAAGGCCACTGATAATGATCAAATCAAATTTGTAAAGAGAACCCCTTCAGCATGTAATCACGAATTAGTTAATAGACACCACTACAGTAAGTTGACAGTGACAAACAAATTCCCTCGAAGATCCCAAGAGGCTAACACACAAATCCAGCCACAACACCACTACACTGCTAAACTGAACTGCTAATATAGCATCCTTCTGCAAGTTTTACTCTCCCATTCAAATAGAGGAATCCATAAAACAAAAACTTGGCCAATGTTCGTGATTAAATTAGCAGTCATACAAGCCTTGCCTTCTGTGGGGCACGTATTCCCAGCATAAGAAGTTAGAACAATGCAGGAAGAAAGAAACAACCATATAAGGAAATTTTGAATCATCCAAGGATAACAGAGATAAGTTCATATGTCCTCAACATCTATAACAAATCATGAGTTAATCGTATCAAGTAGCACAGTCTACAAAGTTTATTTCAAAAGAAAAGGAATTCATGTTGAAATATAGCCCACCAAACATAATGTTTACCAATGGACATGATTGCGAGCAAAACCCTTAAAAATTATTATCATAGGTACAGTGACATGTATAGTAAATCCTCACTACAGCAAGAGTCCAGGATTGCCACAAGAGTCCCTAAACGTCGACCACTTTAAGGGAAAATAGTGCAATCCCTATTCAAGATTTGAAATAAACAACCCAGATTAATATACCAGGCGAACAATACTGGGAACTTTCAACAAATGCCCAGAACTTCCAGTGGTACGATCAAGCATTCTCAACTCACTAATTCAACTCATTTCAAGACGTCCCTGGCAATAATAGATTAAACAAAGTTCACACATAGCGACCATAAATATAAAGCGAGAAAATTTGGGGACCGTGACTACGAATTCATAGCAAAGATGAATTACGGGTCAACACAAAGCATTAGCAATCGACATAAATTCTGAACACCCATAACAGAAAGATAAAATATTTGCACAATTTTTCAGACCCATGAAGCAAAAACATCCGAAATTTGTCAGAAAACATGTACTTTACAGACCGGTTCTACCTTCTGTTTCATCAGTTTCGTAGGGCGATGAATTGGGGGAGGAATTTCCACAACCTCAGGGTCCATCAACACCGAATTGCTACCTGAATATACTCTCCTCCTGCTTAGAGCGAAAAGAAAACACAAAAGATTCTGCGAAAGTGTGAGGAGAGAGTGTTCATGCGGGTTTCATGGGACGAAATAATAATAAAAACAAAAACAACAATAATAGAGAGAGAAAAGGACTTGGAATTCCGAAACGAATATTGGGGCAGCGGCGGCAGCTCGATTGATCGGCTCATTATAGAGCTTGAAGTGAAAAGTTTCTTCCCGGAGGAATCAACCCCCACTATCAGCGACTTAGCCGCTGAAATTTAAAGGTAAATCGGTTTGATCTCATGCGGGGGGAAAAAAAAATCTTTTCGGGCAGGAAAAGAAAGAAAAAGACACAACGACACTCGTAGTGAGAAATAGCATAGGAAGAGCAAAGAACAGCCTTTTATGGCTTCGCGCCTTCACCGTATGATTTATGAAGAAGCAGTGCATCGACATAGATGGTGACGAAACCGGATTGTCATTTTCAGAAAAAAGGCGCGACTTTCCAATAATTTACGTTCGTGCCACTACATGGTGATCAATTGCGCCCGATACTTCCGCGGTTAGTTTTGTTTTCGGCCCAATTTATTCTAATTATAATTATACTCTTCATGATTTTGTGATCCACCTCGTTAAGGTTTTGCATGAAACCGGTCGGTGGCGCGTTCAGTAATTTATTATTTTTTTAATGAATATATTGATGATTTTACTTAATATAAGAGATAGTTCATGCATTTAAAATGAAACATAAATTAGTTGCATGAATATCTATTTATCACTTATGAATATTGCCCCCTCTTCCAATTATTATTAATGCACTCGTGTGTGTATTAATGATTTGGATTCACTTGCTTGAATTGGTAAATCAATGCATGTTTACAAATTAAATACTATATGGATTTTTTTAATTAGAAAATTGCCTGTTTAGCTTTTTCTGATGAAGAAATCACTTTTTTGTTAAGAAATTATGATCCTTGTTTGAAAAAAGTATTGCTTGCTGTGATGAAAGTTATGGGGAAGTAAAACTTAAAGAGTTAGATGATTTATTTTAACATTGTTAAAAAAATTATAAGGGGTCAGCTTGGTTCTCAGCAAAATTTATCGGGTTTTTTCTTTAAAGCAACAAAATTTATACTTGTTTTTTTTTTTCAACTTCCTAAAAAGTTTAGAGCGCTTTTAAATAAATATATTATTTTTTAATGCTAAAATAGAGCTTTTTTATTGAATTTATTTTATAATTTTTAGGGCTAAGTTTTAAAATATACAATAAATATTAAGAAAAGTTATTTTTCAGAGAAATTGTTTTTGGCCAAATTTTTTCGTAACTCTTCGGGAACTTAATTTTTCAGTGAATTAAGCTCAGAGACTTTTATATTTTTATTGCTCCTCGAGAATCTCCCTGTTTAGCCCTAACGGACCAGCTCCCAAAAAATTCAAAATATGATTTTTGGAAAGGTGAACTCCCCATATATTTTATATTAATGTTCTGAAAATAACAATCTCATAAACATGTAACTACTGGGAAAATGTTTTTGGCATTAGAAATTATTTTTTAGCCAATTTTGATGCAATTAAAATGTTTATTTAAAAAATAATTTCATCTTCTTAGAGTATTAAATGTTAAACAAGCAAAACTACAATGTTGCCTGTATTTTAACTCATCAATTATGAGAAACAATCTAATACAAATGGAAAAAAAAATTCATCGATTATTTTTTCAATGCAAGGGTTTAAATATGAGCAAAATTCAATTTTTTTCAATTTCAAACAAAGCTAATGGCTTAATATAATTTCTTTTTAACTATTGAAATAATTAGAAATATCTTATAAACAAGCAGAGTAAACTTAAATTTGGTAAGTAGTAACAACTATCTTAAATGAAACGAGCGTTATAAGTTTTTGGAAATCTAACTTCAGGACTCCGAAGCACCGAGAAACACTTTATGTTAATATTCCCATAATACCCTTCATTATTAAACCTTTTTATATTTAACATTAAAAATTAATATATTTGTTTTAGAAAAGAAATTTGAAGAAGTCCTAGAAATTATAATGTTAAACAATCGTTTTACAGATGATTTTTTTAAAAAAAATGGATTAAAGGATGCTTGGATTAACTTATTTCAAATTATATTGAGTATATATGACGTGTTTTGTCTTGTAAAATATAAAAATATTTTTTTTAGCTGCTTTCAAACACCTACTAAGTATGATTATTTGAACCAAATAAATTTTGAAAAAATGGTAAGAAATTCCCATTTGGTAATTTTAGTAGTAGTAAGAGAGGCCTGAATTAGAATGTTGTTACTTTCTGCATATGAAATTTTATAAAATACTTGTACTTTTTGTGTATAAAAATATATCATGTTTTTCTGGTTAGTAAAATTTTTTAAGAGAGACCTTTTGCCAAGTTTCCAGTTTTTCAAAAAGAATATTCTCCTAATCACATGCTTATAAGATATTGTGGCACGAATTGGTTATATCGGAAGGAGTTACAATTGATAATAGGTACCCAAAAACTCACGACACATGCTCTATCAGCAAATTTCGATTAAGTATTTGTTTGGATTTTATTCAAAATTAACAAAACTATGGTTTTCTTCAAAAAAAATTCAAACACGCCTTAAAATGTTAAAATTAATTTTTAGCCTAAATCCTTAGTTTTAAGTCATGTATACCAACTCAACAAAATATATTCTCAAAACAGTAAATATAAATTAAATTTATTTAACAATTATTTTTCTCACTAATCCAGACGAGCCATAGGTATTTCAATCTCTAATCCCTTTTTAAATGCGTTCTTCTTATGGGTTTTAGTATAACAATTTTTTGTGGTAAGAAAATTATGCAGTGTTTTTGAAGTTATGCTGATAATTTGCTGTGCCTATTCATCAATATTTGTTTATTATAAACTTATGTTTGGTCATCAAGATGAAAAGATATTCATGTTCATCATCTTTCTATGGTCATTATATAAAACTTGTCAATTTGAAATAAATCATATTATTTATGAGTCTTTACAATTTTTATGGATAAGCTGAAATATTATTTACCATTTATTTTTGGAATTATTTTTTTTTAAAATTACGATCCATTGTATCCATGGCATGAAATGAATTGTCAGTCTAATTCAACTTAGTCGGCTCGTCAGGAAATGAAAGGGACAAAATTTCGTTAAGTCAAACTAAGAAGGAAAGCAAGAATTTTAAAGCAATAGATTATTTCAATTTGGGCATAGAGAATTTACACTTCATTAGTCTCAGAAGGGAGAGGGAAAAATTTAAAAGGAAAAAAAAAAATGCAACAACACGCGTATTGAAGATTTATTAGTTTTAGATGTCACTTTCCAACCTATAAATTAACGAATTTATCAATAATACAAAATTAAATGACCAAATGCGAAATGATTGGTTGAAGAGGGCTAGTAAAGGCGTTTCAATTTCGTTATTTAAGAAACAAATGCCTTTTTGGTCCTAAATAATAAAATATAAAAATCTTAAATTCTTCTATTACAAATATTGTCCAATTATTAATAAAACCGTTTAAAGTCGATCAAAAGGATTGATTAAGTTTTCTAACAGCAAAAACAATTTTAATTTGAAATATTTGAAGACCCATTTAAATCATTTTATTTGGATTTAGAATTTTTTTGTCCTAAAATAATTCATGAAGGAGTCATAGGCATCTGAAAGAGAGTGATGAAAAACAGGCAATGTCATCATTTCTATAAAAAATGTAATCAATGTTGGTTTTTTGCGGATATTTTCAAATACCGACAATTTTTTTGCGGATATTTTAGGATAAAATATTCTTAACCCTGTTATTTTTAAAGACATGCAGCCGATAATCCCCAAACACCAATATCATCTTTATCCACATGCGCTTTATTCGGACGAACCTTCAGACCATGAAATTCAAACGTTCACATTACTGACTGAGAAAAAGTAAAAGCTGTTTGAACTTAAACGGATCAAAATGACTTTGAAAGTCTATACCCTAACAATTTTGACCAATATATATATATATATATATATTCATTATGAGAAAATAAAATGTCGATTTGAATATTTTCATTTAATTATGGATAAAATAGAAAATTTATTTCATTTTCAGACAACTAATAGCTTAACATCAAAGCTGTTCCAATAAAATAATTAGAATCACCTTGTAATAAGGATTAAAAGAAATGTTTTGGAGATCAGGCAAAAAAAAAGGTATGGGAGAACCCAAAAAAAAAAGAAAGAAAAAGAAAGAAATGTGTATGCACAGCAGTCCACACGTTTTAAGCTGCCATCATTTGGTTTTTACCAAAAGCTCCAGCATAAGCTGCGTATCAAATTAAGGCTCTTGATCTCTTGTATTTTCTTCTTTTGAGAATTGTTATTCAGTTTCATTCCCAAAAAAGGAAAAAAAAAAAAAAAGTAAGACTCAGTGGAATCCTTCGAATGAAAATTGAAGGATCCTTTTCTAGTTTTAAACATGAACAAGATCACATACTAATAAGCCTTTAATCCGAGCAAACAAATTCTTGACGATAACATTAAGGATTACACCTTTTTGCATTCAAAATAAATTCAGTGAATCGTTCGAGGACTGAGATTAGGTGCATCAGTATGTGTGAGTTCAGTTTGCGTGCAGAGTCTACGCAGTGGAAATTCAACGGTCTGCATTGATTTAAAGATCATGCGGTTTACATAACACTTATGTGGACATTGGATCAAGAAAATAATTTATGGCCGTTGGATCCACACTGTGTAGGCTCTGCACAACAATCCCCTTGTGCAGAGAATCAAACCACGTCTTTTAGAAATTTTATATACTTGGACAATTTGATTGGATTTGGTTTTTCAGAAATTATCGGGTATGCTGCCAAGAGGAGAGACACCTATAGAGGCCACAAATGGGAAAGGGGCTTCCCCTTCCGACATTCCATGACACTTTCAAGTACTATACCATGCAGCTGTTTCTCCACATCTTCTATGGATTGGCAAGCATCTACAATCTGCATCATGAGAAACACAAGGTTCAGTTTGCAAATTAAACACTTGCATGGACACCCCACCGCACCAAAACAAAAACTGACTCCAAGCAACAATCCATTAAGCAATTATCATCATCATCATTATTTTCCTTTTTTATTTTTTTGTAAAGAACTATATGGTATACAGCCAACCAATAAGAATAATCTGGATCACATGCTTTACCCAGAGTTTGAAGTGAGCTGCGCTATTCATTACTTATAAATAAATCACTTTATAAATCTAGATTCAGGTTCAAATATTATCAAATCCCAAACGAGGGTTATCCTTCCCAAGTCTTTCTTTTTTTTTTTTTTTTTTTGGTTCCATTTACAAGACTCAAGATATTATCTTAAGAAGCATTGATTTCCTTCCAGCCGATCAAAATG